ACCGGGGGCGGGACCAGGGAGCCCTGGGAGACGCTGAACAAGGCGGCGGAGCACCCGGCAGGACCCGCGCCGCTTCCAGCTGATCTGGAAGCGGCCGCGGGTCCGGCCCCCGGTGCTCCGCCACTTTGCTCCCGTCTCCCTGGTCTGCTGGCTCCGCCAGCAGACCAGGGAGACGGGGAGCAGCTTTTCTCGCCCCGGAGAAGGCGGGCGGCGGGACCAGGCGTCCCGCTGCTCTAGTTCTCCGGGGCAAGAAATCCCCATTCGTAACTGCGGATCCGACATAAGTTGGATCCGCGTAACTTGGGGACTGCCTGTACAACGTAAAACTTCAACTAGATTTATCATTGAAATTAAGTACTACCTTACTGAAAACCATAATAAAGTGCATATTTAAAATGAAACTTAAATAATTGTAAAGTTATACATACTCATTTTCACAACCAGAATGTATACAAATTCTATCAAATTAATATATCACACCATTGTGTGATAAAATACATCTTAAACTGAAGACATTTCTCTACAATATTACATATTACTGTTCAGAGCCACAAGAAAGCCTATTGTAAACCCTAATTTACAGGCAAAATAAACTAAGAAGTCTGAGGATAAAATTTTGGTTGCACTGCAGTGTAGCTTGAAATATTATACACTATTTGAAATACGCAAATTGTGTATCTTATTTTGAAATAGCTTATTTCATACTTAGGTGCTCTCTACACAGCATCAAATTTCAAAATAATCCGGTATTCCGAAACACCCTTTACTCCTTGTGGAAGGAAGTTTACAGGGACATTGGAATAGCGAGCCCGTTATATTTTGAAATAATAGGCTTCCTGTGAAGACACAGGATTGCTATTTTGGGATACTCTCGTATCAAAAAATAGTGCTGCAGTGTAGAGGTAGCTTAGGTGACTAAAATTTCATTTACACGAAGGTGGCCAGGATTTCACCTCTCGAGTTCTGTGACTTTTGCTCAACCTGATGTTCTCTTTGGGTATGTCTACACTACAGTGTTATTTCGAAATATTTTTATTTGAAATAACATGTCTACACACAAAATGCATTTCGAAGTAGCATTTTGCTATTTTGAAATAGCACGTCCACACTGAGTGGATTCTGAATCGCATTTAAGGCTAGTTGGAGCCAGTTCCAGCAGGGCACCAGGTCAGGACATAGTGTGTGAGGCTACTCTTGAGGCTATCTGAGGACTGTGCTTAAAGGGACCCCCCTGGACAGCCAGTTCTCAGGTTTTCCTGCTTGCTTGTCTACTTTGATGAGGGACAGCAAAGCATTTTGTCTCTGCGTGCTCTGGTTACCCTCACTCGGGACACCACAGCACTCAGCAACATGGAGCTAGAGCTGCCCCTGGGCACTCTGGTGATTTTCTTTGGACTCATTGCTGTGAGCCTGGCGGCACTTTCTGCAAGCTGCCATCCAGGAGGTCCATCGGGGGGCTGTCACTAACCAGGAAGCCCTGAGGGAGAGCTTCCACCCTGAGGAGCACTAAGAGCCTCCCTGGTCTGCCCCACTGGAGGCTTGTGCCTCATTCCTCCCTCACATCCTTCCACTTACCCCTCCCTAACCCCCCCTTCCTGATATCAAATAAAATACACGTATTTTCATGAACACAAACTCTCTTTATTTAACAAAACTGGAGGGGAAGGGAAAGAAACTCTGGTGACACTGGGGAAAGGAGGCAGGAGAGGGGAGAAGAGAGGGTGGAAGAGGGGAGGGGCAAACCTGGAAGGAGGGAGCTGGAAGGGGGAAGCAAGGGGAAGACGGGGGAGGGGAAGCTCAGGGCTCAGGGTTGGAGGTCTCACCGGACTAACTTGATTTTCATGCAAACCCGCTCCTGGGTTCGCATGTGGCCTTTGGTGGCCAGGCTGGCAGCTATCCTGCAATAGATGGCAGCGTTCCTCTGTCTAGTGCGGAGATCATGGATGTTGGGACATCCCCCCCAAACCTGAATAAGTTCCATTATCTCCACACTGGACCAGGAAAGAGCCCGCCTTCTCTGGGCCCTGGCAGGCTCCTGCGAGCCGGCCGACTGCTCCTGCGGAGTGGTGGAGGGCTGGCTGGCCGTGGGCTTCCGGCCCCT